TAATTCCCATGGTAATTTCAAATTAAAACTGTTATTTCTTGGAAAATGTATTTAATTTATGTGACAGAGAAATCTGTATGACTTCAGGCAAGCAGCCAATTTATGACTTTTAAGCATATTGTCAAGGCAGCTTTATTATACTCATGAGAATATTTCTGCTGAAAATATGCATGGTGCCCTGAAAGCAATATAGTGTTGATCAGTATTTAACTCAGAGGTAAAGAATCAATTGATATTTGTACTGCTAAGCACACTTTTATGCATTTTGGTTTTTTTACTCTTCTTGTCGTTACCTCATTTTAATAATAGTTGAGAAGAGTTATCAGGACTCAAGAACTGTCCAATGCTAAACTACTAAAAACTTTTACCATAAGTCAAACTAGACAGATTTGAGATATATGGGAAATAGTGCTAATTAATTAACCATGAATCCTTTAGAAAGAATATAAAAATATGATCTCATTTGTCGTCCTCCTAAGATCACTGAGGAAATTGCCTCTGTTCTCAGAGGGCAGGTTGGAATGTGCAGCGAATTATAGCAGTCCAGACTTAATTATTGTCATTATTTAAAACTGGAATGACTTTTGCCTTTTTTTTACATTAATATATATCAATTAGTAAAAATTGAGTTAATGCTGGTTTAGATTGGTATAAAAGAAATCAGAAGCTAATTACATTCCCTTTCTGCCGTTCTGCTATAATGTTATTTAGGAAACATTTATGGTACGGGCTGTAAGTCAATGCAAGTCTAATACTAAGAAGCTTAGAATGAACATGATCGATTCGAATGGGACTTTTGTATGGAAAACTGAGTGTGCAGTCAAATTCATGTAGTGAGTCCCTGATACACACACCAGAAAATCTACTGACAACACTGGGAGCTGAATATTTGCTATCTTTACTCTGTTTCCTTTATAAAATTGAAAGGAAATCTTTGAAATGTCTCATGTCAGAGTTAAAAAAATAAACCACTAAACCAACCAACCAACAAAAATGCCAACAAACAAACCAAAAAACTCCAGTAAAAAACAAAAAGCCCATCCAACCAAGAAAAAAGAAAAGTGGAATTTGGGCAGTGGAAATGTTTTCAGTACTTTACTCATAAGCCCTTGAACAAATATAGACGTGTTTGGATCAACAAAAGGCATGCAGATAAAGTTCACTTTAACAAAAAAAAAAAAATTCCTATCCTGAATACTAAATAATACCTCACAGAGACTATAAAAATATCTTAAGCATCTGTTGAAGTTGATTGGGGTGTAGTCATGAAATATATCCTTTTTTTTTTGACAACTTATGTTGTAGCCTGAATTTTTCATGGGGTAGGATGATTTTCAGCCTGTTTCTCACCATCTTTTTAAATGTCTTCTTTCCAGCTCAAATTCTAAAACTGGAGTGTTCTGCAGGTTAACTTTTAAAACTACCAGCAGTCGATATCAAAATCATACTCTCAGCAATGTCTGTGTAGCTCGCATAAATTCCCCATAAGCAGCTCCCATATTTTTCAAAGAGAAGTGGGGACAGCTTTCAACACATGCTTTGCATTTTGCTTTCCTATCGAAAGGAATTTTTCATGGGCATCCATTTCTGTTCCATATAATTCCAGAGTATATTTGCCAAGGATCATCTTGGACATGGCTCACCTCCTGCAGGTCATCTTTCTACTGTTTTTATAGGGATCCTACAATCACTAGCTTTTCAATTTATGTACTCTAATGAAGAATCTAATTTAGGTGTGATGAATCTGGGACAAATAATTCTTGTGACACTGTGAGATTTGTTTGTTTAAAGTTAGGCTGGCAAGGCATTTGGCATGCACATTTTCTACTGCTCAATAAAACAGTTAATCATATTTTAAAGTATAAGTGTGGATCGAACTACTTTATTGAATCAAAGCCTTTGAAGTTTGCTGACCTATAGTAAATTGGGAATTTCATAGCTGACTGTACAATTAAACTTCAACTCTAGGGGATATTTAGGTTTAAATTTCTCATCAGAAAGTAATTCTGAAGTGAGCTTTTTTCTCCTGACAAATGCAAAGAAGCTGTGAAAATGTTAAACAAAAATTTTAGTTTGGAATTCAAATAAAACTTCTATGCATTATTTTTGTCATTTATTTCTCTGCTTCCATTAGAAGTACATTGGCTCATAGCTTAACATCAAGTTACTCTTTGAACCTTCAGCAAACTTACTTTCAGTTTTTTTAGTTTCTATATAATATAAAAAAACCCGCCTTTTCTCATTTGTTCCAGTCTGTTCTGAATTATCTTTCACAGGTAAAGGGAGATGGCATCATGTTATAGAATTATGTTCTACAACACCCCCTAAGTACTGAAATGCTGAAATCTCACTCTCTGTTGATGCTTTAAGTATTAAATTTGGCAACTACTGAATGCTTTCTCACAATTAAAATTACTCCCATTGAAAGCAATTGAGACAGAATCACCAAAAACAGGTATCAAAAGGCCTATTCAATTACCAAGAATACCCCTCTGCTTATTGTCATTGCTGCTGGAATAACGGTCAAGGTTCCCAGTTGCCATATATTGGCATAGTCCCACTGGAGTCTCCAGTACTTTTTTTGGTTCGTGTTATTTGAAGATTTGCCTCTAGATCTGATGATATGAAATAATACCTGATGATGAAAAATGATCTGTGAATTGGAAACTTCATTAAGATTTCATTCACAGTACTTGTGTCAACACATAATTTGTGTCAATGTTTTCCAAGCAGGGATTTGAAAGCAGCATAACAATAATATGTGAATATTTCACTGTCGTCTTGTGTATTAGATATGTGTTTTTAACATTTTCCATAGGAAGACAGCAAAGAGGCATCTCTTAAAAGATAAATTCAGGTATCTCTGCACATCATCCCTACCTTTTTGTCTCAAAACAAGAATCCCTTCTTTGTGTATCAGATTCCACTTATGCTTCCTGTAGAGTCTGCTTCTGGAGTCAGACGTGATTAATCCTCCATTCATCAAACATTTTGGAAATGGGAAATTTAACTTTTTTTTTTTTTTTTTTAACTTCTAAGGAAGCCAGTACTGCTTTATCTGGGCTTGATCCTTGCATTTTACTTGCAGATTTCTTGCTTAGTTAGTTGTAGAGGTGGAGCTGTGTGGTTACCTAATGTAAATAATTACTTCCTAAGATATGCATGTGCCCATACCAGGTTTGGTGATGGTGATAACTTTGGAAAGACCAGGCTTATTCTCATGAACCAATTTAATCTGGCTTGGGAACTTTGCAACCAGTTTGGAACCTGCATGTTTCATTCTGTGAGCAGCAACCACATCCATCTGTTTCATCATGTAAAGAGCAGAGACAAACGCTGACGGTGATGGTAACGTGCATGGTTTGAACGAGGGGTGTATATGGACACACTGAAGAGACAGCAGCTCAAAACAACATCACAGCCAGACAGGGTGTGAATGATGTATGTAACACGGTCATGTAACTGTGTGTCACATGTACATGATGCAGAGATGGCTATGGGAAATACTCACTTTTTCACTTGATTCTGCTTCCTTTTGGCCTCTGCACCCCTTTGGTGCATAGCAGGGAAGTAGGTATTTGTGTTTAGTGGAAGAAATGACACTGACTAGCAGACACAAGCATTTTACTCGTAGACTTATCATTGACTATTGCTGAGTAGACTGACAGACAACCACTACAAATGGTGCTTCAAACATGGAATGAACCCAGGCTGAACTCCTGACCCTGTTGAAGCCAATAGAAGTTTTGCAACTTTTTTTTGGGGGGGGGAGATGGGTGTGTGTGGGGTTAAGGGGGGTAGAGGGAGCACCATTTTATGTTGGTTTCTAATTGTTTTTTAATCACTTAGTAGAAAATTAGAAATGATGCCTTAAAGCAAGCATCGTTTTCTTTTGTGCAATTGCTTCATAGACATTAAGAGTTCACCACAAGCAAATTGGTGTTCAACAGGGGCTGAGGAGGAGATGGCCAGACCTGGTTTCCAGAACAGATGATGACATTTCTATACGTGCATTAGTGCAGTGCACTTGTGATGCTCTGTAAGAGAAGTATGTGCTGGCCTTGCAGCTATCTGAAGTGCTTTTTAAAAGTACAGTAGCTGTTATTCTAAAACATGAAAGGAGTAAAGCAGGATTACAGATTTTGAAGGGTCTTGCTTAACTATGTGGTGAGATTACTTGTAGTAAACCTCATGATGAGTAGGAACAACTTGTGTGCACTAAGTATTAACGGTAAACTCAACGGACTTGCTTGGGGAACAAATTCATGCGAGTGGCAGGAGGGAATAGATCCAACTCCTGTAGCAAGAGGGAAGTGCTGTGTTTTACAGTGCCACTCAGCCACTGCTTTCAAGAAACTAATGAAACCACCTAAGGTTTGATGGCTACTCCAAGGTGTAGCGTTTAGTGTAATGTTATGTCCTTCCTTTGACTGAAGTTGTAGAAATGAAAGCAATGAGGCATGCAAATTAACATTCTGATCTGGACTGGGAGCAAAATCCCAGTGAGAGGTTAGGGATGGGATCTGAGACCTTGAAAATGGTACTACTGTGAAGTGCTTGGGTTTTGTTTTATATGTGCATTGCAAATGAGTCTTTGTAGCGTGAATACTGATGGTGCAAATTATAATTGAAATTTTAAATTGGTTTGCAATAACTTTCTGGTAACTGACATAGGCTGTACTTTCTACAGATCCTTTTATTTGGGGGAAAAAATGCACGTTTGTTTAAACTTTGATATCAGGCTATCTAAAAGCCCAAGCATTTACATCACTTATGCCACATGATTTTTGCCTGTGTCAGCGAGGCCACGTGAGGACGTCAGTGTGAGGTCCCCAAGCAGAGGGGCTCAGCCAGCACCGCTGCGGCCGGATCTGCGCCGAGGGGAAGCAGAGGGGCGCGTGGGGTTCCCCTCGGGCTGCGTGTGCCGGGGTTCATGGGGGGCTTTCGCTATCTCCCGTGCGCTGTGTCCCGGCCTCCTCAGAGCCCCGCGCTCCGCCCACCTGTGATGCCACAGTAAGGAGGGGCTTTTCTTCTGCAGACTCCTCCCTCGGAATCTCCTTCATCACCATGGCAACAGCTTTATCTGCCGCCCTAGAGCCTTTCCCCTACAACAGCGAAATCAACAATGGCGCGAGTCAGCAGCAGCCTGGCAACAACCGCTTCCCAGCAACACACCCCACCACCATCTCGTCGGTATGCTGGCGGCGCTGACGGCTGGAAGCAAAGCTTGGTTGAAAGCAGAATACACAAACAGTTTGAAAATAATAATAATAATAATAATAAATTCTCTGTGAACCCATTGGTTAACAGTGCAGCTGCGGTCTAGCCACAGACTTGTAACTTGTTAGAGTTGCCCCAATGAAGTCAATGGGAATACGACACTGCCTTGCTGGGGCAAGACTGGCTGGAAATATTCCAGTTCCAAGGAAGGATTTGAACCACCTGCAGGACAGGATCTCATAGGATTGAAGTCTGAATGATCAGCCCCTTGATTTAATTTTAGTAACCAAGAGTTTGTCTGTGATAAAGGTTTGCTTAAAAATAGCATAAAGTTGTTTTTGCAAATAAAGCGCAGTTCCTTGTAACTCACTGAGGCAAACTCCTCCTGAAGTTTGAATGTATAACCTTCAAGGCTAGGCCTACAGGGTTTATAGCTCTAGTTACACATTAAAAAGCAATTTACATAATATAAACAGTCTGAGTTTTTTTGCTAACACAATATATGGAGCCAAATTCTGCCATTGTAGGCATTGTTACAGTTTTCACAAAAATAGTCATTGTTGAACTTACTGTAAGGGTTTTTTTTAAAAAAAAACTTTACTTAAAATTCACTTAATGTATTGTAAATATTCACAAAAAGTTAAAATATTTTAACAATTTAAAAAATATTTTAGCCAAACAAAAAATGCACTAACATTGTGCCATACTCTTGTTTAAAAAGGGTATTTATCTTCTTGAATTCACACGGATTTCTGTATTTTGATCTCTTACACTCTTGCAAGTGGCAAAGTCTGAACATATGCAAAAAGCATAGCAGCCAAATTGTGTTATCCTGATGAACCTTGGCATGTCCTTGCTTTTGTACTTCAAAAGCTCCCATTGATTTCCATGGAAGTTTTAGTTGTGCAAAGACTGCAGGATCTGGCTCCATAAAAGCAGTATTTTACGCTAGACTTAAATATATTTAAATACTTAAAAGCCTAGTAACAAAACTGGTTCTTTACTACCACATCACATACTAGAATTACTTAGACCAGCACCATATTCCGTGTCAAATAAAACCCCACTATTGCTTATACTAACTACAGGTTGTTTCAGAAACGTTTCATCAATTGCAAGTAAAACCATAATATATTATTGCATTTTTCTGAACATATTTATTGTCAGGTCAATTTTAGCTTTGCTTGCTTGTGCAAAACATCACAGTTACCCTACAGAGAGTTCTTTGCATGCTGCAGGAAATTCTCAGAGCAGAAGTGTCAAAATGATAAGCATGCTGGATTTGTGATGCCTTTGATATCCAAAGAACTGCAAAGTCATTGTAAAATTAAATATATATCATTCAATGAGAATTATTTCTAATTGATAAGCATATCAAAGGTTCTTTGCCAATGGTGTATTTACTCGGTTCATGATTCACATGACATATTCCGGGTCTATGCAGCTCGTTTCTAGTATGGCGCGTGAAGCTGTCGTTAGCTAGCACTAATAACATGCTCTTTGATCTCTAGAAGATCTAGTCCTTTTGTGCCGAGTACTAGAACAAAATAGTTTATCAGCTAGAAAGGATGCATTGGAAAGCATGCAGTGCTTTTTATTTCTTGCAGAGTAAAAACCCACCAAAGCAAAGGTCAGGTCACTTTTTTGAAGACAGAGCCACTTTTTCTTCAAGGTTTCACCTACTGCCTGAAAAGAGTCATGATACTCGTATTAGTGCCTGCTCTTAACCTCTCACAAACATAACTCTGCAAAGCCCTGGGAGTGGTTGATACCATGTAGAGAATGTCTCATCGGTTTAAGGTGGCTATGGTACAATGCAGAATAGTAACCTGAGGAATTCCTCTGTGCTGTGGTTTGGTGTGGGTTTGGGTGGTTTTTTTTTTGGTTTTTTTTTTTTTTTTTTTTTGTATTTTTTGTGAGAAGATTTCATGTATTCGCTAGTCAAAGCAAGTGGTTGGATGCTAATTTTTTATTAGACCATTCTTTTAGCTTTCCTGAAAGACTACATGTAAGTCAGGTTGATTATTTCTGGCTACCTGGTCTATGGCATGAAAAATATTATTTGGAAACTAAAATCCACCAGGCAATTTCCTGGATAACAAAAAGAAAGGTGTTGTGGTGAAATAGCTTAAATCCTCAGATTCTGGTAGAGTGATACACAGGTGACCGGTTCATTGGAAAATCTAGTTCTTTATTCTGGTGACTAGAAATGGATTTTTTTTTTTGTCCAGTGTGAGGTATGTAAGCTTGAAGTTTTGGTCTCTGTGTTCACTCTAGTGAATACTGTTTATTTACTCCTTGTCTATGAAGTGATCAGGCAGAAGAACTGGAGAAGAATAAATGTTTTTCTACAACCAGGACAAATTTATTACTGTGGTGAACTTTAGCTGAAATGATAGTTTCTAGCACATTGTTATAATAACCATTCAGGGATGATTATTTCTTTTTTTTTTAAGGTGCTATTTACTTGGTGCCTTTCAATATTAAGTGGTGTTTTTTTCTCACTGTATGTATTTTTCTGTTACAGTAGCTTATTGTTCAAACACTGTGATTCTATAACGGCTAATTTTAGACTTGCCAGGTCTTTAAAATGAACAGTTTGCTGATAGTGCAGATTTGCAGTGTAAGTTATTTTCTCATGGAAACATCAATTTAATAATTTAGTAAATAAATGTCATTATTTCTTATTTGCATTATTTGCATTATTTGCAATATGTAGATGGAAACACTTGTGATGCAGAGCATGACAACCTATGTACAAATCAAGACAAACACAAATAGTTGAAGGAAAAATATATTATTTGTTTTCATGGAACATACTGCATAAGAAAAACTGAGAAACTTGCCAGTATTTCATTATTTGATACACTGAAAATGGAGTTGTTCCTTCAGGTGATGTCTTGAGAGCAAAATAAGGACTAGAGTTCAGATTATTCCCATGATGCTAAATATTTATAATAGAGTTGGATTCAAAACTTAATAATGGTTTCTCCAGGTTTATTCTTTGGGGTCACAGAATGGACAATAGACATTTCTAAAGAAGTATGATTATTTGGCAGGATTTTGTAAGGAAATGTTAATATTTATTTTTTTTTTTAGCTAATGTTTCTGAATAGTTCCAAATTAAATTTTGTACAAGTCACACGATTTAGACGTGGTACTTAGTAGTGAGCATTTAATTAAGCTACTGTAAGAGCACATTGATGTAAATGTCTAGGTCACTTTTCAGGAATATTTATACCACTTAGCCTTGTGTGAAAGTGAACAAAAAAAAAACCTGAGTGATGGGATTCATTTTTTTTAAAAAAAGTAAGAAATTCTGCCTTTATGTAAACTTGTGCTTTTCCATTTATTTTCTAAAGATCCTACCAGGCTCTTTCAGCTTTACTTGACACTCTACAATGCATTGCTATTCACTGAGCTATTGCCAATCATCTCAATGTAGGCATGCTTAAGTTTCAGCTTCTGGAAAGTAGAAGTTTTAACACAGCTTCCCTTGTAAAGAAATTTGTTAGAGGAAAGTGATGTGCAGACAGTGCTGGTATATCTATGAAGTGATTTCTGATTTCACGTGGCACCCCTCTGGTTGAGCAACAGAAGAGCAGCTTGCTGTATTTATAAATATAATGCCAAAAAAGTCACCAGCTATCCTGAACTTTCCACACTAGGCTATTGAATTCAAGTGTGTTTAGAAACAAAACAGCAAAAAAACTCACAAAATACTTTTTGGTCTGGTATATCTTGAAGTAGTGATCTGCTCTTTTAATAGCTTTAGTGGGTTGTGGAGGGGTTTTATAAAGCCAGCTTTGTGAAAGATGCAATGGTGGGAAGTTACAGTAGCTGTGGTCTTTCTATGTCGGGAGGAAGAACCAGCAGAGCTGCTCTGTGTATTGGACTTGGGATGCTTGGCTGCTGCCCAGATCCCTAGGCAGCCAATATATTAGACCTGCAGTATCAATTAAGCAGCTGATTCAGAATAGCTTTATGCACCGCAAGTCTTTGTCTTTTGTGCAATTTAAGAAAAATAAAAATGAAGGGACAAACTAGTCTTTACTGTTTAAAATAATGCAGTGCTAACATTTTTACCTCTCAGAATGTGCACACACAGCTATGCAATAGTGCCATCAGAGTTCTAGTCTCCACAATACGACTGCGAGAGCTTGATTTCACCTAGGAACCGTTTTTATTACTTAATATTTTTCCCTTCTCAAATTTTTCTGTTTTCTCCATCTGTCTGTCTTTTCATCATCTATGCTTTTCTACTGTTTTCTGGTGGTGTCATATCTTGCATCTTATATATCATTAAAAATAATGAGAAGCCATATGGTAAGGCAGTTTTATGAACCAATACAAGATAGATATTTAAATAGAAAATTGTTTCTTCAGCCACTTTGTAGTTTATTCTGAGGTTAACAAAATGAGTTATATATCTAAGGTAGATGGGAATAGAAGTGCTTCTGGCAGTGCTAAGCTGCCTGTGGCGTGGAGACCTTTGACTAAGCCATGTGTCCTGAACTGGAAGCTGTATTTGTCAAAGTGGATCAGCTTTCAGGACCCGAGCTAGCATTTCCATACTGTACTTGCATTCTTTGGAGCCTCTTATCAAGCTTTCTGTTAGAGATGGTCCCATCTTTCTTCACTTGTGACCTCTAGTAGTTCATTCAAGATTATGATGAAATACAGATAGTGTTGGTTACAGAGAAGGAATATAGTATAGAAAGCCTTGCCTAAGAAGCAATTTGTGATAAAGCAGCCAAATCCATTATTGACTGAGCTCAAAGTGCACTACTCAGCTTTCACTCCTTTCTTTGATTCTTATGTGAATGGAATAACAGACTTCAGTATTAATATGGGAAGACTTTTTCTTTACTGTATACAAGAAAATTGGCAAAGAAAGAGATAACAACTGATAAAAGGTAATCAGCACAAACATTCACATTTACCTTCATTGGGCTGTGTCTTATGTCCATTTAAATGTCAATACTGTGGTTAAACTGCGTTCCACTTTGAGAAGCATTTGACTTGGAATGGCATTGTTAGATTTCCTGTTTATTGACCCTCAGTAACTGTTGCATTACATGTGCTCCCTTTAGAAGTTGTCTCATTCTGATGCCTATAGATTCATTCTGAAAGCCAAATGGGACTGCTTCCAAAGTATCTTGGGCAAAAGCTGAGCAAGACCCACTTTGCTCTCAAAAATGTGAGCAAAGTCACTGGACTTAGTGCATCTGAACGCATTATGGCTGGAAATTAACAAACAATTCTGTCAAATCTCTATTCACATAAACTAGTATGATTCCTGCAGGCTAATAGGAGGAAGAGGCAGTGAAACCAGATTAGAGGTTTTATTTGTCTGTTATTCTCTTAGGTCAAAAAGTTCTATTTGGGATGTGCACAGAGAGTGTACCTCTTGAGCAAGATACTACTTTTTAATGTCGGAGCGATAACATCAACCTAACCGTAAATAGTAATTCCAGCCTTGAATATAGAGCAAGGTTGGTAAGAAGAGTGAGGTGTGGGACAGAACTACCTTCTTAAAGGTTATTTAAGGTTCTGGTCCTTTTATGAACAAGTTATATAATATAGCTGCTTGTGATAACAGGCTTGGATGAGATGTTTTGCAGTCCTTTCTTTCCAAGTGTCATCTTTTAATAAGGCCATTGTGAATATGTAGAAACTACTTTTTTTTTAGCACTTATTTGATTGACTTCTTTATAATTTGTGACTGCTTTATCAAAAGGACGAGTCTTTTGACTGCACAATGGTATTTGACTTCAAAAATTTCAAACAGCTGTAGAACTTCTCATCTCTGCTTATTCTGTGTCAAGGAACATTGCGCATTAATTTGATTTAGCAACTGACAATTTCAAATTTGTTTGGCACTCTTCAGCAAAGAACTAATAAAGTATTTTCCCTTTCCCAGTTAAGGTTCATTTTATATTGATTTTCAGTATCATGAGCCCAAATCATAATATACATGTAATCATAGAACTAGTTTACTGCTGTGATAATGCAAGTACAGAATTAGAAGAGGCATTCCTCTGGTAGCAGCTCAAGTGAAATTCAAGGAGCTCAGATCACTTTGAAAATAAACAGGTTGGTGACTAATGTACCGTCCATTGTTTGAATGTGTTTTCTGCACACGTGGTGTGTAAATGATGTATTTTGCTCACTCACTTCCTCCTGGTACCTAATGTATTGTTCTTTAAAGCAGTTGGGGTTCCTTGCCTCTCAAAGCTGCTACATGATTTTTAATGGTTTTGTTTCATGAAATGTGCAGAGAACCCAGACTAACAGTCTGTAGCAAACATAGCCAGATTAAGGACTACACAGTAAGTCTGACTTGCTCCTTTGATACAGATTAATATTACTGATGAGCAAGTTCTGTTGATACAGTTTCCAATTTTGTGCACTACTTCACAAAGTTATCTTTAGTGGAGTTTTCCCAGATGCAGTTTGCTTTGAACAAAGGGCTACAGCAGTTGCAGACACTAATGATAGGAGCACAGAGAGCTCCTGGAGCAGATGTCTGCCAGACAGGATCTGCCATGGGGTGTGTGTGTGTAGTGTAGAGCTTGCTTTTATGGCACAGGAGTGAGGATAATACAATTCCAGTGACACTTGCTCACATATATGAACAGTTGGGCATTACATTTTATCTGTTGTTTTCAAATTATAATTTAAAT